TTTGTTTGTTTGCTTTTCAAAAAAATTAGATTTGTCAAATGCACCATTCATTCTGTGGGGTAGAAAAGCTGAGGTAGTCTATTTCTCTAAAGATCACAGTCTTAAAAACCCTATGAGGCAGGTTTTTTTTTCTGCCCAATGGTCAAGTAGTAACTGAGTAGAAAGAAGTAAAGTTAGTACATTTAAAGAGCTCTGAAGTCGTGATGTGTTACATATTGCACCTCTAAAAAAAATGTTAGTGATTGGGACCCACCAAGAAAAGTAGGATATTTTTCCATTCTATGTTGGCTAGTTGAGAGGAGTCACAGCACTTTAAAGGACCTGGGGTCATTTTTTACCTTTCTAATACAACTTGTTTTAACTGCTTCCTCCTACAGATGGTCATAAAATCCTATCTAGGGTTAAAAATTAATCCCATTATTGCTGTTTTCTGGAACACACAGAGTAGGTAGGTTCAGAAGGTCTGCAAAATGGAATCACTTTGGTTCCAATTAAACTTACAGTTTCCCAATTAGTTCTCTTAAAGCTGTAGTTACTAACAGACCCTTTTGAGTCTGGCTATGTACTACCTAGTCCTGTATTTAATATGTCATTGAAACATTTGTCATTTTATGTTTCACTTTGTATTGTTACATAGATTGGAATCAAAGAACTGGTTTGAATTCTAAAATCCATTAAGATCTCTGTGACTTGGGAAAATTGATCATAAAGAGATTATAAAAAAATAACCTTTCTGTGTTGAGTCTTCATGGGGAAACAGGAATCTTACTATATGCCCACGAGGGTTGTGCTGATGGTTCAGATACTCTAAGTGGAGTGATCTGCAGTCTGGCATTACAATATTTCTTACAGGACAAGGCAGTGCTGTGTGTGTCTGGGGCCAGGATCTACGTGGAGAGGTGTTTTAAACCAGAAATCCCCACAAGGCTAAATGACCAATTAAGTAAAGAATGAATGTGTATCTTTTATTCTTAATTCAATTTTCTTTCTGCCTTGCTTTTAATGGCACAGTCTGAGTGATTATTTCTGACTGTGAGCTATTAAATCTTTTTTAGAAAAAGAAACATCAATCAAACAATAGTTTGTTTAGGTGCATCTGGATTTTTTTTTAACTGAAAAGCAGGCATATTGATAATTCACTTTGGTTTTGTAACAAAATAAAAAGCCACTGCCTTTGAGTTCAGTCCAACTCATAAGAACCCCTTTGTGTGTCGGAGGTTGGGAATTATTTTGTTGTTTCTGTTTTCCCCAATCAGTCATCCATATCCTGTTCTTCATTGTTAGTTACAATATACACAATGTCTGCTCTTCCATCCACTTCACATTATCCTTCCTTTCACCTATTTCAACAAGGTAAAGACTATCCATCTTTCGCCCTACAAGCAGCTGATGGATTTGACCATCAAACATTTTTTTAATAAACTTCTTATTTTTATATTAGTTTGCTTTCAAACTTCATATCCATTGTTTTTCACACTGAATCTTTCCCATTTCCTTTACCACCCCCTCCCTCTACCCATTTGTGTGACGCTATGATTACTCCCTGCCCATCCTCACCCCTTGGTCCTCCTCTCCCCCCCTAGGATCCTCATATACATTTTACTAGTTATCTTTCTATTTCTACAATAATGGTTTATGACAGTATTTGTCCTAACTGACCACCAACCTTTTGATTAGTAACTTAACACATCATGCACTAAGCCACCCCAGTTCTTTGGTTTTGTAAGGCAGTAGGCTAATATTTTTCCAGCTACTGTAACTATGCGCATAACTGGAGGTACTGTTTAAGGTTTGGGGACTAATAATACTCTAGTCCATTTATCAAAAATTTAAATTAGTAAGAAAATTGTTTTGAATCAATATATAATTAGAGAAATATGGTGTTTATGATAAGATTGATTTGTAAAATTACTTTTCAAGCTGTTTTGAAATACTTGGATTATTATGTACTTCACATGGAAGAGACCAACATTTAAACTTTCTTTCCCAATCTCAAAGATTGTAGTGAATTGTTATGGAAAAACTGCCCATTGGTGAACTCTGAAATGAAAATGTAAGCATACTGGAATATCTACTTTACATTTAGAACATAATTTTCCATTGCAAAGTGTGCAGCCATTTTTCATTTGTTACTGCATGGCAGGTAGACATTATTGCCCTACTTTTATTTCAGTAAAATGACCCCAAGGCCACAGAATGTGCTGAGGAACTGAATTGCTTATACCCCTGAGATAGGAACCTGTATTGTTAAGTAATTCACTTCAGTTCAGGGTTTTCTCATAAAGAAATTGATTTGGGCTGTGAATATCACCCCCTAGAAAATATACTGTAAGATGGACTGTGTCTCCAAAGGTTAAACTGCCTTTTATTTCCAACAGGTATACAATGGCCTTAGAACTAACTCACCCCAACTGGAAAAACTGTGTAGTAATGTGAATGTAAGTGACCACATAAATTCCTCAGGAAATACAATGAAAGTTGTTTATTTCACTGATGGATCCAGGCCATATGGGGGCTTCATTGCTTCCTACACTTCCAATGAAGATGCAGGTAAGCAGGGAGGTTGTGTATGCATCTTATTTTAATCTGATACAGTTGTTGTTGTTATGTGCCATCGAATCACCTGCGACTCATAGTGACCATATTTATAATATCCCTAAACCCTGCTCTATCCTGTGCCAATCTAACAGTCTCTGACACATCTATCCCCATTAGCCAAGTCACTGAATCAACCCTCCTCATAGAGGGTCTTCCCCTCCTGCACTGTCCCTCCACCACCTCAAGCTTGATGTCCTTCTCCAAGGACTGGTCCCTCCTTGCACCATGTCCAAAGTATGTCAGACAAAGGAGCAGCCTGATTTAACCCTCTGCAGGGTGAACCTGTTCATTTTCTTAGCAGTCCATGATATGTTCAATACTCTTTTCCAGCACCACAGCTCAAAGGCATCAATTCTCCTTCTATCCTCCCTAGTCATTGTCCAGCTCTCTGATGCATAGCAAGTGATTGTAAACACCGTGGCCTGTATCAGGTGTATCTTAGTCTCCATAGTGACACCATTGCTATTCAGTACTTTGGAGAGGTCCCTAACAGCAGACTTTTCCATCAAAATATGTTTTTTCATTTCCTAGCTGCTGGTGCCAGGAGTGTTGACTGTGGAGCCAAGCAAACTAAAGCTGTTAACAATCTGAATCTCTTTATCATCCATCCCAATGCTTCCAATTGGCCCAGTGCGAGAATCTTTGTTTTCTTGATATTGAGCCTCATCCATATTGAAGACTATGGTCCTTGACCTTCTGGAGCAAGCACTTCAGGTCCTCTTTAGTTTCAGCAAGCAGGGTTGTGGAATCTGCATAATGCAGATTGTTGATGCACTAGAGATGCCTCAAAATCACTGCCAACAGCACCAGAGCCTTCTCTTTTTACTTTATTAATGAACATTGCACTTGAGATCTTTTGCTTAAGGAAAATATACCTCACCAGATGGGAAATTTAACCCAGGAAAGGGGAGAAAACCCAACACAAAACACAACCTATGAGCTTCAGAAAGAAAACGGCTGCTGTGAATGAAAAGCTTATAAAAATACTATTGAATGTCTTAGTTCACTTCCACACAATGCCATCAATTAGATTATTATTATTATTTGCTTTTATTTTTGTTCTGAAAGAAGGCAACTTACTCTAGAAATTACATATTTTAATCAAAGGGAGACAAATAGCATTGTTTCTTGACCATCCTACCCCTGTGAAATTTATAAGAGGCAGGAGTATCACATTCGGTCCAAAGCATTTTAAAGTTAAGCTTGGTGTAATTTTAAATAACCCTTTGCTTCCTGGATTTGTGTTATTATCTAATGCTTTTCTAATTTTACAATAGCGGAAACGGATTTTTTTAAAAAATTCTTAATTACTTTATTGATAAAAGTGTTACCTGTTCCTATGTTAAAGAGGTCAAAGTCATTGGCTCTTCTACTATTACAAGATTCTTTGTGTTATCTTATTAAACTCTGGAATTGAGTGATCTAATTGAATAGAATGGACAACCTCCTCTTGTGCAATTAACAACCTCTGAAAACCCACCAGAGGGTCAGCTATGGGTCATTTCCAACTCAATGGTACACAACAATTACAACAATTTCATTAGAAACAATAAGACCTTTAACAGTTATATTTGGATGTTTCTCCAAATTAAGTGTCAGTGAATGATAGGCGTAAGTGATGAAATAATTTATGCAATGCCAAATCCAACTCGCTCACTATGCCTGCCAGAGTCTAAAGAATCTGTTTCTTCATTTCCATCCTTTCTTTGTAAACATAAAGGGACATCTTATATGCATTATGTGCGCAAGTCAGCCTTCTAACACCACCACTGGCTTTTTTTTAGGGAAACAAATCATGTCATTGGTTACCGCTTATTGTTCTTGTATTGTTTGTGTCTTCAGTCACAGTATTTTCTCTTTTGTCTTCTTAGTGTGTGGTGGATCCCTTATAGATTTCCCAGAAGGAAACTTTACTTCTCCTGGCTATAATGGTGTCAACAATTACTCAAGAAACCTGAACTGTGAATGGAGCCTCAGTAATCCAAGTCAGGGAAATTCATCTATTTACATTCATTTTGAGGTTTTCCACATAGAAAGCCACCAAGACTGTGATTTTGATGTCCTCGAGTTTCGAGTAGGTGAGTTCAATCCAGAAGCAATTTCCCTACAATGTTCTTCTTATACCTCTAGCCAACCAAGAATGAACTATCTCCCGTAGCTTTAGTAGAAAATACCAGAGAATATTGTGCAAATAAAGTTGTAATTCTGTGCCCAGATGAAGGAAATATGCTCTGATGAACAGAAGGTGAGACGGGACCGTGTTTACAACTAGGTTCAAGCATCAGTTGATTGGTTTCATAATGCAGAAGAGTTACTGATGTGAGATTTCCATTTGCCTCAACCATCATAATGAGCACAGGGAATATCCTGAAACTTTATTCTACTCCTCCAGACTCCTTTCCGAGGAGACTGGAACTTAACATAGCCAGAATGTATCAGCAGTGTTCTCTACTTTTAAGATTTATAAAAAGCCCGAGGATGCCTACTTAGTCTTTGAAGTCCTGGGGAGTTTTACAGTGTACCAGATGGACAAGCACATGGAAGTGATTTGGGGAATTATTCCCAAAGCAGTCAATTTTTCGTAACAGAAAAAAATTGAGATGTACTTGATAAAACATAATTCTCTTAAGATGCTTCCACTTACAAATTCTCACTTTATCAAAATTCTTTTATTTTCTTAAAGGTAGCCAGCACTGTTTACTATAAAAGCTCTAGAACATCCTCTCTAGCTAAGTACATTAGCTTCAGAAGCTTCCTTCTTCTCTTTATATTTTGGGATAATAAAGAACTCATTGAACCTTTAGGAGTACAGATTAATCCACATTCTTATTTATCCCGTATGTTAATAAAGCATATATTTACAGGAGGAAAGAGAATATGAGCATAATGTGGGAACAAGCTGATAGACAGCTTATACTTTAACTGTTGGGGGGAAAAAAAGGATTCATTGTTTTCCATGAATCTAGATTTATAAAAAAGAAACTGAAATTTGAGTCATGCTTTAAAAGTTCATCAAGGTAACACTGAAAAAAAAATTTAGTCTGTCAGTTCTAAGCATAAATACTGAATATTCTTTTAATTGACTATACACAATGAAGAAAGATTAAAAATTTAAGTGGTTATCAGATCTTTTCCCTTTTTGATATATTTTGTCAGTATTGGTATAATACCTCTTATTTCTAAAAGAAGCACACTTCCAAATTTATTCCTTTTAGTAAGTTCTATCACTGTACATTATTGGCAGTTGTTGCAGACCAAGGGTAAAGTATTTTTATAATTAGTAATAGTGAGACAAATGAACAAGAATGAGATAGAACAGAGAGCATAAGAAACAGGAGGCCAGCAATTTTCCACTAAAGACCCCTATTCCAGCTTCCCAGTATCTTTATTGAAGATTATCAGGAAGTAAATCACAAAGAGAATTCAGTACAATAAAGCCAAACTCTTTCTATGGAAAATCTTCCCCTTAACTTAGGAAGGAGGGGTCAACAAAGCAAGAATCAGATAAACCTTTTAGGATTGCCTTGGTGCCTCAGAGTGAATTCCAGTTTGAACCTGAAATAGCATTTGGTTTATTACAAATATTTCCTATTGGCTCTCCATTCAGTCAAGCATGACTCATACTAGGCTAGTAAACAACAGTTCTGAACTTTGCCCTATCCTGAACCACTCTCATGATCTCTGATATACTTGGAATCATTGTTAGTCACTGTCAGTTCACCTCCCTAAAGGTCTTTCTCTCTTTTGCTAATTCTCCACCTTTCCAAACATGATGTTCTTTTCCAAGGGCTGGCCCCTCCTAACAACGTGTCCAAAACATGTGAGATGAAGCTTCATTATTCTTGTCTCTAAGCATATTTTTCTTCAAAACATACTTGATTGTATTTTTTTTTTTTTGCACTTTTGGCTAAGATCAAGTGCAAAACACACTTCATTACATTTTCTTCAAAGTATACGTGTTTGTTCTCTTGATAGTCTCTTGACAATGGGATATTCAGTATTCTTCACCACCACCACAACACAAAGACATCACTTCTTTTTCTGTCATCCTTATTCATTGTCCAATTTTCAATTGCATAGCAAATACTTGAAAGAAATCATTGTTTGTATCAGATGCACCTTAGTCTTTAGACTAACATCATTGTTCCTTAGAACGTTGGAGAGATGTCCCTGATAGTAGATTTTCCCAATGCAATACATCACCTAATCTTTTGACTACTGATACCAATGGTGCTGATTGTAGATCAAAGCAAGAGGAAATAATTGACAACTTCAGTCTTTTCTCTATTTTTAATCTTTTCTCTACCTGTTGCCTATAGATTAAATAGTGAGGACTCTTGTTTTCTTGATGTTAAGGTGTAATCCATATTAAAGGCTGCAGCCTTTGATCATCTATAGCAAGGATTTCAAGTCTTCTTCACTTTGGGCAAGCAAGGTTGTGCAATTTTCACAATGCAGATTATTGAGTCTTCCTTCACATATGATATATTTATTTTAAAATAATAAAATGTATTTTATAAGGAATATCATATACAATTTGTTTCACTAACTGTATAATATTGGCTTTTGGTGTGTTATTTTATATAGGAGATGCTGATGGGCCTTTGATCTGGAGATTTTGTGGACATTCAAAACCTGCAGTGCCTTTGGTCATACCTTATCCTCAGGTCTGGATACATTTTGTCACCAATCAACAGGTAGAATATATTGGATTCCATGCAGGATATTCCTTTACAGGTAAGGTTCCTGTTTAAGCTCTCAAACAATAATGGTAAAATAATAGATAAAAAACTTCAACAATTTTTTTGCAATTCCCCCCCCCACCCCATATGGTCTCACAAAACATTGTTAAGCTAATTTCTGGGTAGTTACTAGTTTTGTTGCTGATGCCAATAAGATTTTGGCAGGAGGTAAAGGACATTTTCTAAGTGGTTTTTGCAGTTATCTAGGTACTTTCCTTTTTATACATTTCTTTTTTTTTTATCCAGAAAACTTGTTATATACTTATTAGTCTTAGCTTGTGTCAATAGATCCCCTTTGGGTTTTCCATGGAGACAATCATTATCTTATGCAACTGATAATACTTTTATCTTCCAATCCTAACACTTAACTCTTACTCTTGTCTTATTGTGCTGCCTATGTCCACCATGATAATAAAGTGAGCAGAAAAAACAGCAGCAACTTATTTCTCACCTTCATGGGAATGTATGGTATTTAGTTGTGAAATATACCGATTGCTCTTGGATTCTCAATGAAATGCCTCTCATCAGATTAGGGAGCTCTGGGGGCCTTGTAGTAAGGATTTTACTGCCAAAGCACGCAAGTAGAACCCACCAGCTACTTCACAGGAGAAAAGCAGACAATCTCCTCCCAGGTTATTTATAGCCTCTGAAAACCTGCAAGAACATCAGGTATGAGTCGATTCTGACTCTATGGCACATAACAGCAACATTAGATTAAAGAAAATATCTTTCATTCTTACTATGTCACAAATGAATTTTACATTTCATCAAGTGATTTTTTTTCTCTATACATTGGAGTGATTTCATTTTGGCCTCCTTTAATTTATTAATGTAATAAATTATATTAAAAGATGTTTCTCTTGTAAAATCATTCTTGAATTTTAAAGATAGATTCTTCCAGGGAATAATATTTTTTTATTGTCTGCTAATATGTTGGATTATTCATCCATTAAATTGGTTATTTGTACCTGAAATTTCAACCCAAGACAGGCAGCACTAGTCGTTGCTGTTTCCCTGGGCCAATAGGAGCTTTTGTAATATCTTTTCAATGATGTGATCTTCAATGTCATGTAAACATCTCATTTCTAGCTTTCCCTTTGGTTGGGGAAATATCTTCCTTTCTTTTCTGATCATTTGAAATTCAGATCCCAAACCTGAGAACCCATATCTTGGTTTTCATATCCTATCTGACAGCCACACTTTCTGTATGAACACATCCATCCAAATTTTCATTTATTGCTTATGAGGGAGCCCTGGTGACATAGTCCATGCTATGTTGTACTGCTAGTCCAAAGGCCATGCCTCTCTGGAAGTTTGTATCCCCCAGTAGCAGCAGCTCCATGAGAGAAAGATGGATTATCTCTTCCTGTGTGATTTACAGCCTCAGAAACCCATAGCTGGAAGGTCAGCTATGAGTCAGTTCTCACTTGAAGTCTGTGAGTAGTGCTGATAGAGCTGGTGTTTCTTAGGAAGACACCTTGATAGTGAAATGGTCAGGTGCTTCGATAGCCACTGAAAAGACACTAGCTCAAACCCACTGGCCTCTCTGGGAGAAAGATACGGTTGTATGTGCTTCCACAAAAAGTGCACAGCCTTAGAAGCCTCATGTGAACAGTTCTGCTCTGCCCCGGAAGATCACTATGAGTCAGAATTGACTCAATGAACATAGACTTGAGTTTTATTGCTTGTGCATTTTAGAAATGCCATTGAGTTTGGCCATATAACAACACATTTTGTCTAATATTTCTTTTTTATAACCATAAAATTGCTTGGAGGAGGCAGCACATTGATCAATATCTGCTCACTCAACCATCTTGGCAGTTATAAACTATTTATCATGTCAAAAGAAAATAGAGGCCTCAAAAAGCAATATTAATTGTGTTAGACACCAGAAGATACTATGCTTCAAATCTATCTGTATTTCAATTTGTTTACTGATTTGTGTTTAATCTGATGACTTATTTGTGAATACATACGCTTAACATCAAATAATAACATTTCTAATTATTGTACTAATTGTATTCTTCAAACTTACACTTCCCCCCCCAGTGGCCCAGTTCCTTTCAAGAAAGACAGTACCATTTATTGATGCTCTGCTGCATTTACTGCCATACATCTATTTTTTTCTCTATTTATAACACTAATTATCTTCCCTCTGTGTTAAACTTAAGCTTGTCTTTGTGATGTAGAAGCAATATGATACTCTTTTCATCCCCTACTGAATTGTACCCTTATATATAATTTTATTTATTCATTTATTTTTTTTATTGTATAATCTCTGAGTACTACTTATTTTGTCTTAGCAGTTGTTTCTTTTCCTTTTATGTTATCTCATTTTCAGATTGTGGCGGGATACAGATAGGTGAAAGTGGAATGATTTCAAGCCCCAACTATCCAGCCGCCTATAACAGCTTGACTCACTGTTCTTGGCTCTTGGAAGCTCCACAGGGCCACACCATCACGGTGAGTTCTAATAATCTAAAGGATGATAAAGAACTCACACCAGTAATGAGCAAGGAATAGGAATAAATAGGCTTCGCATCCTGCAGTCAGAAAACAGTATTTCATTATTTTCTCTGTAAAATTCTCTCATTAAGATGTATATTTTAGCACCTACAAATCTATAATTAGTGATGACTGAGCACTTTTTTTCAATCACAGGAGAAGCTATACATAGAAAGTAAATCATATTCCTATTCCTGGAGAAATACCCTGTCTCAAAACTTTTAAGAAAATCTCCAACAAGAACAGAACAGAGGTGAAGAAAAAAAGACATAAATAAGCGGAAAAGTTAAAAGAATTTTTTAAAGTTAAAAGCAAAATTTTTTAAGGGTAACAACCTCAAGGTAGATAAACTCACAACTTAGAATGCATCTTCACTATTTTTTTTCTCCTCCAGCTTACATTTAATGACTTTGACATTGAACCCCACACCACTTGTTCTTGGGACTCAGTCACCATCATGAATGGTGGCTCTCCTGGATCACCCATAATAGGACGGTACTGCGGAAGTTCAAGCCCCAGGGCAATCCAGTCTGGATCCAACCAACTGGTGGTGATTTTTAATTCAGACCATTCAGTGCAAAATGGTGGATTTTATGCTACATGGACCACACAAACTTTAGGTAAAAGAAACATTATCCGTACTTACTTTTTTTTATGATCTATTTTTCAAAGGTATTAATTAATCCAACAAATATGCAACTAATTACTTATGCTTTGTTAGGCATGATTCTAAAAATTTATACTTGTAAACAAATATAGTAACTTTGCAAAAAATACACAACATCAATATATGTTTTCTATACTTTGCATGGGCAGAAACTGAGTTAGGTGAGGTGACAGTTGGTCCAGTTCACATAGTTAATAGTTGGTAGAGTCAAGATTTAAGTAAAGATAGGTCAGCCCAGAAACATTGATTTTCACACTTCACCATGTCATCTCCATGGACAAAAGAACATATCAGAACAAGAATTTGTCAGTGGTAGATGTTTGTTGGATGTGTCCCAAGCAGTTTAAAATATTGGAAGTAGACTGAACGCTGTGCTTGTAAAATGTGGATGCTGACTCAAAAGGTCTTAGACTTGATAGGAAACAGTAGCTCTGTGCAAATAAAGTATTAACTTCATGAAAATTCTCAGGAAATGGAAGGATTTGTGTGCTTTTGTATATTGTTCAGTAAATTCTTGCATTAAGTTTCTTACTGCAGAGTCAGATTTCTTAAAAAAAATCTGTCAGAAAAATCAAACTTTCTCCAGTTAACACTGGTTACTATTAAAGTCAGAGAAGATTTTTTTGGTTGAATCTCTAATTTTCTAAGGATAGAAAAGAAAAAGATATGTCTTTTTATGTCCTTGTTTACCTGAATTTTTTGGTTTTGTTTGAGTTCACATTTTTCTTGGTCATCTCTGAGATACGTATTATAAGCTAATTCTAGATTTTTTTCCTATTTTATATATCCATGTTGTTTATTCCATTAATCATTTCAATACAAATAGAGTCACCTTGTTTAGCAAAATAATGTTCCCTATTTCAAAACAATGGTCTTGAATTAAGTATATTACAATAAAATTACAAATGAGTAGAGAATTGTATTCTCATGAGTTGTCGTTGTTGTTGTGTACCATAGAGTCAGAGCCAACCCATAGCAGACCCTACAGTGGGTTTTCAGAGGCAGTTTCATCCTTTTCCAACAGAGCAGCTGGTGGCCTCAAACCATGTGTCTTCTGGATTGGAGTGCATTTTCTTGCCACTAGGCCACCAGGTTCTCATAAGTTACTGGTATAAAATAAGGAATTTGGCTTTGGAGCTCTGGTAGCCTAGTACATAGGGGGTTACACTGCCAACCTTCCCTTGGGATTTACAGCCTCTGAAAACCTACCAGAGGATCAAGTATGAGTTAGTTCCAACTCAATAATAAATGAATGAAAGAGAGAAAGATACTGTAACTATTATATTACCTCAGGAAAGTCAAATATTTGCTCTTTGAAGACAATATAGACGTCTATCCTCTTTACTGTACATTTTAGTGGTCTTAGTGGCCTACTAATGAGCTGAACTGCCAACCTGAATTCATGTGATTGGAGTCCATCAGCTGCTCTGTTGGAGAGAGATGGGCAATCTTCTGTGCAGTTTACTGACTCTGCAAACCCAATGGACGGTTAGCTCTGAGTCAGTTCTGATCCAATGGAATATAACAACATCACCACAAGAGCTTACCTCTGGGTTTAATATATCTTTTTTAAAAAATAATTTTAATGAACATTTACAGAGAACTTGGATTTCCATTTATTCATTGCTGTGGTTCTCTACCCGCCCAGCCCTTTCCCCCCACCCCCTCAGTTTGCTCCTTTCTTTCAAAACTAAAAGAAAGACTCGCTCCCTGGTACATAATCCCCCCACACCCCTCCCACCACCCCAAGTACATTCCACTAGGCAACTTTAATTGTGGACTCTTGTGATAACCATATTACCCTATCATACATCGCTTTTAAATTGTTCAGTCCCTCATCTGTTTCAGTGCAGTATACACAATTTATCCAGTTTTCTTACATTTATAGAGAGTTCTTGCTGTACAGCTGGACAAAAACCAATGACATGCATGTGAGAGAAAAGAAACAGAAATATCACCTTTGGAACTATTCCTTCCCTACAAGTCTTAGGTTATAAAAATGGTTTTTTTTTCTCTTGGAACATTAATGAGTTTTAATCATTAATAATAATAATAATAACAGTAATATTATTTATTATTATTATTTCAGGTTGTGGGGGAATACTCCACTCAGACAATGGCACCATCAGATCCCCTCACTGGCCTCAGAATTTCCCTGAGAACAGCAGATGCTCATGGACAGTCATCACCCATGAAAGTAAACACTGGGAGATCAGCTTTGACAGCAACTTCCTCATCCCCAGCAGTGATGGGCAGTGTCAGGACAGCTTTGTGAAGGCGAGTACTCTTGTTTATTTAACTGGAGCTGGGCTGGTTTCTTGAACATAAACATTTAGATTAGAAATGGCTCATTACCACTCAGAGTAAGAAAAGGACAATTTGTTATTTGGATTTCTTAAGTGGAAAAATTCAACTGCTAAAAAGTGAATCATAACACACATCCTTGTAGCCACTTTTTTGTTAATTCATAGGCAATGCAGATTGCTTTTGGAGCTTAAATTCTCATAAGCATGTGGCTCTTCCTTCCTGTGGAAGATAAAGAGAAGGCGAGGGACATTTGTTGCTTTTTGTTTTATTTTCTGATAGATCTTCAAGGACAAGTGCCCTTTGGGTTGTAAAGCCCCATCACAGGCAAAACATAAAGCACACCATAAAAAGTATAGAGGACTGGAGATGAGGCTAGTGGCAGCCTTTCCTTGGAGCATTGAGAGCCCACAAATTGCAAAGATCCCAAGAGAGCCATATATGACTCATGGCAATGGTCCAGCCAGCAAGACTCTGAAGTCACACTGTTCATGTGGTACTGATTCATCATTTTCTGACCATGATGATTGAATGATAAAACCACTTCATACTCTTATCTTTTATGCTCTAAGATTCTACATGTCCTTTAGTAGAAAGAGTACTGACATTAAAGTCACAGAGACTGGATTTCACTCACATCTCTTCCACTCACCACTTGCTTGTTCTTATATAAGTTATTTTAAACATCCAGTTAATCTTCTTCTTCATTCAGTAACATTCAGTTACTTTTTCTTGTTACCTCAGCATTTCTTCCCCTTATTTTAGCTTCTTTTTTTAAAACGTTTTTCTTTTTAGCTCTTTTCACTTTAATACAAATTTCAGTGTCGTCAGCAATAATATAGAAAGCATAATTCCTATTTTTATAGTGCTGTTTTTAAAGATTAACAGTAATACAATCTAGTAATAATATACCATCATTCAAAAGATAAAATCACCCAATGAGAGGTAGTGGTGAATTTTATGGACATTATTGTTGTTATAATTTTATGTTATCTTATTAACTCTTAAATTATAGTTTGTATCTTATTGATCCATATTTGCTTTTTAACTGAGCATTCCATATCTTTGTATAATATGTGTTTCCTAAAATACTCTTACTAACTGCTTTTTGTATGAAATAAATGAACCTACTTCTCATGGAATGAGTCAGCATCAAATTTGTATACTTAACTAGAGCCTACAAACATTCCAGTTGTGAAAGTACAATTTTAGAAATTCCTTAGATAAAGACTTCTGGACTAAATAAGATAGCATTAGACTGCTAGTCTTCAATCTTCCCTGCTCAGCACAATTATAAAGCCTGGAATGGTGCAAAAGACATCTAGAAGTGAACTCTGAAAGCAAATAATTTTTCCTCTGCCTAGGATGAATGGTAAATGCCACAGCAGCATGCATTGGATTTTTTTATTTTTTTAATTTTGTGTGTTTACCTCAGTGTTAGAAAGCCAATTCAGAGCATGCCACCCAGGAATAATTAAGAAAAAACTACTGAAGAAGAAGAAGAAGGAAAAAAAACCCTTACCAGCTACAGAAAGAGGGATATAATCTCTTTGAAATAATTGAGAATGGGATATTTTACTTAAAAATAAAACAAGATGAAAACAGCTTTAAAATTTCCCAGACTATACTGAGAATTTTTGTGTATATTATTTAGTATAATGTTTAGTTATATATACACTCAAGTACTATGGTTTTACAGTCTGAGAGTATTAAGATCTTGCCAGGGGAATAGGATAAGCTTTAACTCATGTTAATGGCTCTGCAGGTGTGGGCAGGCACTGAGGAAGTCCACAAAGCTCTGTTAGCCACAAGCTGTGGGGCTGTGGCTCCAAGTTCCATCATCACACCGAGAAACACATTCACTGCTGTGTTTCAGGCCCAGGGGACACCAGGTCGGGGCTTTTCTGCATCATTTATAAGCCGTAAGTATCACTAATACTTGAAAGGTCCTTGAAAGATTATGGCTGCAGGTCAGGGTGGGGAAACACGGGGGTAGCTGGACCAGGGATGACAGAAACAAAGAATTGAAAATTAAGAATAAGACTGCCTAACACATGTCATAGAACTTGCCAATTTTGAACTTACAGTATTAAAAGACCTTATGGGCAATATTTTGATGGTCATATAATATATGATGCTGAACACTGTGACACTGTTGTGTCAAATGAGATAATGGTTACCCATGGTGGGCAGTGTTTTATGGAGTTCTCCAAGTAAAACAAGCTTGGAAGCAGAAGTAGCATCCACTTCTGTAATAGCTTGCCTCCGAAAACCCTATGAACCTGGAGAAACTATGAAAGTTATACAAGTGTTCACGTCTTTCATTCATAGGGTCATTGTGAGTTGTCTGCGACTTGATGGCACTTAACAACAACAACAGCAACAACAACATTGGCAATGTACTGAATGATTCAGGAAGTATCAAAAGACAATGGAGGGAATAAACAGAATTACTGTACCAAAAAGAATTGACTGGCATTGAATAATTTCAGGAAGTACCATATGAGCAGGAGCCAATAGTAATAAAGGAGGAAGTGGAAGCTGCATTGAAGGCACTGGTAAAAAATAAAGGCCCCAAGAATTGATGGGATATGAAATTACTTGCTTCAATTAACAGATACAGCCCTGGTAGCACTCACCAGTGTAAGCTAGTAAATATGGAAGACAGCTATTTGGCCAATGGGTTGGAAGAGATCCATGTTTGCTCCCATTCCCAAGAAAGGTGAATCAACAAAATGTGGAAACTATTGAACAAAATCATTAATTTCACATACAAGCAAAATAATGCTGAAGATAATTCAAAAAAGGCTAGAACAGCCCATAGATAGGGAACTTCCGGAAGTTCATGCAGAATTTAGAAGATGGCACCAGGGATATCACTGCAGATGTCAGATTCTGGCTGAAAGTAAAGAATACCAGAAGAATGTCTATTTGTGCTTTATCGACTAGGCAAAGGCATTTCACTCTGTGTGGCTAATAACAAGTTATGGTTAACATTGAGAAGAATGGGGATCTCAGAGCATTTAATTGTGCTCATGGAATACTTATTCCTAGACCAGAAGGCTGTTGTGAAAACAAAGAAAGGGAACACTACCTGGTTTAAAATTCAGGAGGGGGTACATCAGGGTTGTGTTCCCTCTCCATACTTATTCAATCTGTATGCTAAGCAAATTATTAGAGAAGCCGGACTCTATGAAGAGGAATGTGGCATCAGGATAAGAGGGAGATGCATCAATAATCTGCATTATGCAGATGATACAACCTTGTTGGCTGAAGGTGAGAAGGACTTGAAGTGCTTGTTGCAGAACATCAAAGAATGAAGCCTTCGATATGGATTGCATCTCAATGTCAAAAAGATACAAATTCTTAACACTGGACCAATAGGTAACATCGTGATGGATGGAGAAAAGATTGAAACTATCTGCAACTTCATCTTACTTGGATCCACAAGTAACATCCTTGGTATCAGTGCATCTGGTTAACCACTTGCTATGCATTTGAAAGCTGGACAAAGAATAAGGATGACAGAAGAAGATTTGATACCTTTGAGCTGTGGTGTTGGAGAGGAACACTGAATATCTCATGAGCGGCCAAAAGAACACATATGTCTTAGAGAGGGTACAGCCAAAGAACTCTTTGGAGACAAAGATGTGAGGCTTCACCTCACATACTTTGGGCATGTTGCTAGTAGGGGGCTATTCCTTGGTGAGGGACATCATGCTCGGGAAGGGAGAGGAAGGACAAGAAGACACTTTTACCAGGTGCATTGACACAATGACTGCCACAGTGGGCTCTACTGTGTCTCAAGAAGTGTGAGGATGGCACAGCATAGGACAAGGTTCAGATCTGCTGTTCATAGGATCACTCTGAGTCGTACTCGACTTGATGACATTTAACAATAATAACAACAGCAACAAAGAAACAACTAATAATTGTAAGTTTAACAATTCAAATCCACCAGTCATTCCTTCAGAGAAAAATGGATAGTCTCATCCTAGAAAAATGTACTTGAATGCCTGATGAGAAATTGCTATGAGTTGGAACCAACACAACAGCAGGAAGTAAGGCATGGGAAGGTCACCCTAAAACCAGTGAGAATGGAATTGCATTAAATAGTAGACAGTTGAGAACTTACATAAAAGGCAAAAATGCCACTAGAAGTTGATTCCACATCAGTGGCACATGTGTCCATTCCCACTAATGGTGCCCCATGTATAGAATTGCACTCTGTCGGGTTTGTGATAGCTGGTAGATCTCTCAGCCTTCCTTCCAAGACACTTGTGAGTGGACTTGAACTTCTAACCTTTCGTTAGCAGCCAAACGCAATAACCCTTTGCAGCACCCCGGAGCTCCTAAGAGTGATGGTAACCAAGGACCTTAAACAACTTTATCTTCAAATGGGATAAATATTCAGCAGAAAAACAGGAGGAAGAAACTAGTAGACATCACTGGGCTTGGTAGATGGCACATTCGTCACATGCATTAAAATTACGGATTACCAGGCCTTTGAGTTCAGAATTTTCATGGTGGGAGAGTAGTAGCTACCATGTTTCAGCTGTCACTCAGAGGATGTACACTGGCAGACATTCTTGTCAGGATTTTCCTTTCTAAGTCAAACATAGATCTACTTCTCTAGCCATTAAGCAAAAATTATTCACTGCCATCTAGTCAGCTCTGGCTTATAGTGACCTTCCACTGGGATTCCAAAGGCATAAACTTCATGAGAAGAGATACTCTATCTCCTGAGGAGCTCCTGGTCAATTCAGAACACCAGTGCCATGCCACACCCCAAGGATTATACCACCAGGGCTCCTAAAACACAAATTAGTTTAGGGAAAGTGGAATAGCCTTGAAGACTGGTAACCAATGGTGCATGCTTCTTGTTTGGATTAAATTAATTACTCATGACTGCAAATGATATTGGGAAATAATTTTACTTATGAAATCAGAGGAAACATTGCAGTAAATAGATATTTCAGACAGGAGTGAAAGAATGAGGGTAGTGTAAAGGAAGCCAAAAAAGACAATTATGACGTCAGCTTAGTTTCTACAGTTGGTTTTTTGCACAGTGTCTTTATTTATATATATTGATAAAACAGGGAGTGATGTGATTTTATAAAGATATTTCCCATTTTCGTGGTGAAAGACACTTCTTTTTCTTTCTGAGATCTAAGATTCTCATTAAATGAAAATATAACCAATTGAAATGACAATGATAAAGTCTATTTTTTAAAAAATAGCTGTCATATTTATGGCCCAATTATAAGGGTAATTAACATAGTTTTCTAATAATAGAGTAATATATTTTATAAACATTAAGTGTTCAGAATATTGTCCAGAGGGTGTAATCACATGACATCAGCTTTTTCTTTATCCACATGTATCATATTCAGTGTTTACTCGTATTCTACAATGAAATATCTGCAGTGAAAGTCGTATTTATCCATCATACTCTATAGCCTTTAAAAAGGTGATATAATCTCATTTTACATGAATATTTCTTTTTAAATCAGAGGTTCTTCCTCTCTTCGTTTTCTGCCTCTTCCATTCGAAGACTCTAAAGCAATCATTCCAGCAGAAGATTTAGGAAATTGGAGTTTTTCCTTCACTGATAAAATCAATACCATGTGTGACAGCAGGTGTTATGACAATTCCCTTTTCTTCCTCTGTAGGATGTGGAAGTAATTTCACTGACTCTACAGGTTACATCATTTCACCAAACTACCCAAAGCAGTATGACAACAATATGAATTGTACCTACATCATTGAGGCTGATTCTGATGCTGTGGTCATCCTGACCTTTGTGTCTTTCCATTTGGAAGGTAAGTGTGTTCTTAAGCAAATTGCAATTACGTTTTAATACATGAACAAGGAATCAGTAGGGAGCAAGGAGGCAGAAGTACTTTAGCATCATCACCATTTAAAGGAAATAGTAAAATTATGTCATAAAAGAGTTGGATCTCGTATGCAGGTGAAACATGATCAGCAAGTTGCTCGGATGGAAAAACTAGCTGGTTTGGTAGAAGAGCTGGAGGCGATGAATGGCGGTTTAAAACCATCAAGCAGCTGCTGGGTTCACACCTTCCTAAGGTTGCTGTTGCCTCTAGAGCAAAAGTGTAGAGCCAGCAAGGGCCTCTTCATAGTTCTTTGGCCTTCCAGAAGTTCCCAACTATATTGCTGAGTTGTTTATTGCATCCACATTTGGTTTATCTGTTATCTCTCTCTAAGCAACAAATAATAAAATATGTGATCTTTCGGGGGGGGGGAAGAGTTGTATCTCAGGAACTCGGAAGACACAACTTGCAGGATCTCTGCCCTGTTGCCTACCCTCGTCACATGGCAGTCCCTAAACCTCATCCTGACCAAATTATTTTATCAATTTAAAAGTCTCTGTACAAAAAATTTAATAATATAACCCCCCCCAAAAAAAGAATGTATGTATGTGTATAAAAAGCATGGGCAAATAAATTCTAGTCCATGTAAAAAAAAAAAAAAGTCTCTGTACAATGTTTTCCCCCAGTTTGGCCAGATTCTAGAGAATCTACTGTGAGGATCAGGCTTTGTCATCTTCAAGGAGGTCAGCATTACCCCCAAATGCCTTGCACTCCATGTAGGACTTCCCCTTTTCCAGCAAGTTCAAAGAAGCTCAATACTCTAAGACTGACACTGTTAGCAGTGCCATGCATCAGGAAAAAGGAAGCCTAAGATCCAGAAAACCTCAGCTGCCGAGAATTCTGTGTATAGGGAGGGCCAGCCATCCCGATGGTGGGGGTTGTCCAGGAGCCTAGGCCTGTCATGCTGCCAATGCTGCAGGTGCCTTGCATTGTGTCCCACATGCCAGGCCAGCCGTGATCCTGTCACTGGGCCTTACACCAGGCAAGAGCCTGGCTGGGGCTGTGCCGCCACAGCAGCTTATGTGGACGCAGATGCCACCTGCCTAGTCAAATCACATCTTGTTCTTTACCAACCTGACATTCTTTTTAACTCACTTTTTCCTGCTCGTTTCCTGGCTTCATGGAGGTCTGGCTGGTCCCTGGACCAGTAATGCGTTCATTACCTTAACAGAGCTTGACACAGTACCATGAAGAAGTAGTACTTTACCCCATGTCTACCTCTGTTTTTTCCTTTTCATCTGCCTTAAACTTTTAAATGAAGTTCCCCTTAGGGACCTTCTCAAGCTGCTTTGAGGTGTGTGGTTTCCACACCACATACAATGTATTCAGTCTGGTCACTGCTTCTTGTGCCAGGAGGCTGGAAATACAGTGTTATTTTGAGGTTTAGTTTTAAACACACACACACACACACACACACACACTGTTATTGTTGTTGTTGTGTGCTGTCAAGTCCCTTGCCCCTCTACAGCCATCAGCATTTATCAAAGTTCCCAGAGTTCCCAGATGCATTTTGTTTAGGAAGTGGATGTCACTCCTGCTTCCAAATTATTTGTTGAAAATAGGGGTTGTTATTCATTTTCTTTTACACTCTACATACTAACATTGAGAAGAATGGGCACCCCAGAACACTTAACTATGCTCATTTGAAACCTATACCTAGACCAAGAAGCTGTTGTCCAAGCAGAACAGGAGACTACTGCCTGGTTTAAAATTCAGAATGGTGTGCCTCAAGGTTATATCCTTTCTCCATACCTATTCAGTTGGTATGCTGAGCAAATTATTAGAGAAGTTTGACTCTGTGAAGAAGATTGTGACATCAGAATTGGAGGAAAACACATCAACAATCAATTTGCTGAAAGTGATGAGGACTTGAAACACTTGCTGGAAAAGCTCAAATAATACAGCTTTCAATATGAATTTACATCTCAACATCAAGAAGACAAAAATCCACACCACTGGACTGATAAGCAGTATCATGATACATGGGGGAAGACTGAAACTGGCAATGACTTTGTTTTACTTGGTTTCACAGTTAACACCCTTGGTACCTGCAGTTAGAAGATAGGAGACATATTACTTTGGGCAAGTTGACTGTCAGAGACCTCTCCAAATTACTGAGGAGCAATGATGTCAGTTTGAAGACTGAGATGTGCTTGATTCAGAACATGGTCTTTTCCATCACTGGCTATACATCTGAGAGCTGGACAATGAATAATGATGGCAAAATAATTGATACCTTTGAGCTGTTGTGTTAGAGTATTGAATATCCCATGGACTGCCAAAAGAACAGATTATGTCTTAGAGAAAGTAAAGCCAGAATGCTGCTTGGAGGCAAGGATGGCTAAGTTTCATCTTTTATACTTTGGGCATGTTGCTAGGAAAGGTTATTTCTAGAAAGGGGATATCATGCTTGGAAAGGTAGAGAGAGAGTCAGCAAAAGAGAGGAAGACCCTCAAAGAGATGGATTGACAGTCACTACAGCAATGGGCTCAAGTGTGTTGGAGATGATGAGGATGGCACAGGTTAAGACAGGATTCAGATCTGTTGTTCATTGGGTCACTCTTGGTCATACTCAATGGCACCTAACAACAATAAATACACACACACACACACACACACACACACACTCATACATTTATGTTCTGTAAAAGCCATTGTTTTGCCAAAACAAAAATAGGTATCTCAATAATGTTACTGTGATAATATTAGGTATTTTCTGGTTGAAGAATGACTGACAATAGACACAACTTGATGTTTAAAGAGTACTATGACACTTCAAAAACCTGAGCCCTGATGGTGCAGTGGTTAAGTGCTCAGCTGCCAACAAAAAGTACAGCAGTTCAAAACCATGAGTTGCTCTATGGAAGAAAGATGAGCCACTCAGCTTCCATAAAGACTTACATCCTTGGAAACTCTGGAGGGAAGTGCTATAGGGTCACTGGGAGTCATAATTGACTCAATGGCCATGTGTTTTGTTTTAATGCACATGACACTTTAGAAAATATTTCCCTTTAAACTTATTGTTTTCTACAAATTGGCCTTCCATCTAAAAACATAAATTAGTCCATTACTCTGTCAAGGTACCTGTGCATAATCAAAGTTTCTATTTGTCGTGGTGTCCTCTGTCTGTGAAAAGTCAAATTTAACATCTGGGAAACATGTTTAGCGAAAATGAAAAGGACATGTCTGTGCTCATGTAGGAATAAATGATCTAAATCCTCTGCTTTCCCTGTGACCTCACCTCCGCCTACATCTCAACAGTTGTATCTTCTGGCATATGTTTTTGATAGAGAATTCCAGGTATAATCTGATGCATTGCTCTGTCAGGTGGGAATAAAAAGTGAAATATAAAGTTTTCAGCCTAGGCTAGCACAAAATCTCAGTGGTAGTAAAAGATATTTGTGATATGGAAAGTACTTCGGGTAGAGAGTTTTAAACTCTGTGAAATGCCATCCAGTTTTCTATTTGAAAGAACATCCATATCAAAAATAGTTGGAATGCTCTTCAGCAGTATGTGAAGAGTGGTGTGTCTAGACGGATGAGCTCTATTTTCTTCTTTGTGTTCTTTTTATAGTCAGAAAGGAAGTTATTTTAGAAGGACGGGAAAGTAGCACATAGTATGTGGCTAGAATTGTTCACTGCTATGTGCATTTGTTTTTATTAAAATAATAAACATGAGAATGTCATGTGTCAAAAGCATTCATTACCAATCAGTGATTGCTAAGTAAACTATGAAGCCACAAAGGGCACCATCAGTACCAGTTCTACCTGTGTAGTTACAGTGGAGCTACTCTGACCCCCAACAGGACCCCTGGCCATAGCTGGCTAGTGTCATAAGGGAAAGCATGTCCATTGTGTGGTGTGGTTGGAGAAACAATAGCATTTTAGAGTGAGTCACCATCTGCCATCTCTTAGTCACACGACTTTGTTCAAATGACTTAATCTTTCTTTCAAAGAACTACTTTTCTTTTTAAATAAAATAGTTGCTGTCAGTCCCCTAATTTATGTTCATGCCACCCTGCCTTATAACATCCCCAGGTCAGCTGCACATTTGACCATTGTGGGGTCATCATGGTCTAGAAGTCTGCTGAAACCTGGAATCACTTTCATTAACATGTCATTACACAAGGCTCTGCTGACAGATGCAGGAGTTAAGAAAGTGAGATTATTGCAAATTGTAATTCATGACAGTGGCCTTTCTAGTCATTTCTGCTATTCAAGATCTTCAAATGTGTCTATACACAAGGTCTTTGAAAGCACATAAGAGGTTTGGCCAAATTAAGTGATTTCTATTTCTAGTAATGAATTTTCTAACCGTCAACCAGTTTAATGGACTCTTCCTTTTTTAAAATGTGTAACAGGATTCCTGTATGATAATGTCTTATGATATTTTTGATGTTACAACCACTCAGCATTTTCAAACCGCTATATGAGTAATTGGGTTTTGGCTATATAGTAAATGAATCAGGATAGTTTCCCAAAAAAGATAATCAAATTTCTTTTCAAATTAGGCTAGTAACTCTGGCTATATATAAAGTGAATCATGATTATGTCAAGAGTAGTGTTTCTTGAAGACCATCAACACGACACGGTTTCACTAACCACGTAGAACATAACCTTCCCTTAGTCCTTCCAAAGTGACCCTGGAGGAGACATGGCAGCACACCACTGGAAACTGAAGAACTACTCTCCAGGAAAGACACTGCCTCATGGCAGGAGCAGTGACCTTTCCGGCTGTCATGGGTGATAGAGACTGTTTTTGATAAAAAGCAGCCAAATAACTAAGCAGTTCTGAGCCCAAATACAAGCAAAGCAACCATTGGCCTGTTCACAGATGAGTAACATTAATTTGTTGTTTTGTAGACTGCTAAAACAAAAAGTCAAGTTCACCAGCAAAAGTAGGGCTACATCAGACTACATCATACTGG